CTAGTGCGCTTGAGTATATACAGATCTAAATAGTAACTAAAATAGATCGAATTTCATATGCATAAACCTTGCCATACAGCTAGTTGTTTCTTATCTCCAACTGAATTGTCTACATTTATCTTAATCTACAACAATCCACTGTGATTATATCTTAACAAGGTTTTTCGCTCAACTTCACTAAAATCGCAATATAAATAGAATATTAAGATAAGCCTTTGGAAGTTCATCAGTGTGTAGTGAGAATGATGCAACTAGGTGAAATTGAGTTGTCAATTCCTCACTGTGGGTTCCCTTTGAAACTAGAATTTTCAGTAGGAATCCATAATTTCAATGTAAAAGTTGTGTTTCATAAGCTATTCAGTAACATGCATAGCTGAAAGTCACCCATTAATCAATAGCCAAATTAAAGTGATTCAAGTATAATCATATTCACTTATTTTGTTCACGATTGAGAACACATCAAAGGGACAACCGGATAGTTAGTTCAGATAAGAAGCGAAATCCTATTCTAACCACTTGAAATTCTATGTGTACAATATTACAGTAATTGATTGTTCACGAGTTATATTGTAATCCATTATGTGAAATATAAAAGGAAAAACAACTAACTATACCATAAAGTAAAGACATTTAGTTAAGGTACATAGGTATATATTCATTGAATTGTTACTGCCAAATACAACGATTTCATCTTCAAATTGTATCAAATAACTAGTTTTATAAAAAGCAAAAATTACAACCAGTAGTAATACAAATAATAGTGAGAAGAAGAGAAAAACAAACAATTAAGCAGCAAATTTCATATCAAGTTATTGATACCACATTAGAATGGATTTGGTCAAATTCTTTATGTTCATTTTCTATATTCTCTTTGTTAATTTGACAAATTGTAGGAGAGAAACTTTTATCGGTAAGTGAATGATGATTATCAGCAACATCATCATCATCATCATCATAATCGATAACTTCTATAGCCCATGATTGTATATTAGATGATGAAAATATGAGAAAGAAGAATCCAGCAATAAGAAATATTACAGAACCTAAATAAAACACATAACGCCATTGCTCATAAGTTTTCTTGTAAAAGAAAAAAAACGAAAAGACAACAACACAAATATTTTAAACTTGTATGGACTGTATTCAAATAGAAAGAAATTGTTAGTAATTATTTGTTCTGAAAACAAAATCTTTGTTTTTTCGCTAACATGAAGCACTGTGATCATAGGTATTATCTAAGCACAAAACGTTCACCTACAAAGATTTGTAGTCTATTGCATTCAACTATCAGAACACTTGTAACAGTGTAACATAATTATGCCCGTAATGCCCCGGTATTGCGGAGAGTGGGGAGAGACCACTCTATCTCTCTCGAAATGCTCTCACATGCCCACGAGTATAAAGCCTTTACCTGGGAAGTCCTACTCATTGCCTTCTCGTGGCCGGGGTGTTGTTTACGAAATTGAGAGGACAAAGAGCGAATGTCCGGCGCTTTAACCGGGTCGGTAGACATGGAGAGTCCACCTAGGGGAGTTAGAAAACCCTCATTCTAAACCCATGATGCACATGGGCTCCAGTATGCTGAGGAAACAAATGGCGTATGAACCAATCGTTGGTCACCGGTTACCATGGGACTGCATCTCCTTACAATGCTCCACTGCCTTGTGGATCAGACCTTCAGGTCGAAGGCTTCGGGTGTGATCCCCTAAGAAAACCACTTGCCTCGGTTTGGGAACCCGGGCAGTATCACAGCATTCACACATATCAAATGAGATCTGTGTGGCGCATATGTATTTGGTGCTGTGGCGTCTCACAATAGGACGAAGCGGCCGTCCAGTGCTTCCAGGATTTCCATGGTGGTCTAGCTTCAATTGACTCATGATCTCAACTGTTGAAAGTACTACAATCTCCACAAAATCCCTTTTGATACCAATATCTGTGTTAAAATAAAATAAAATGAAGATAATTTTGAGTTATTCTATTGCAAATTAGATTAATTTGAGGGATTCAGTACGAAGAAAAGGAAATTTCATGTTCAATAGTCAGTCAGTCAATAACGTAGAACCTCGTACATACGTACATCAGTTCGAGTTGCCATACCACATTAGCACAGAGATACAATTGTCGATTCAAATCCCTTAGTGACAGAGGTAGTAAAAGTATAAGCAACAATCGGAAACATTAGGGTTTGAAGATGCTATTCAAGGAGTATAACCCAGTGAAATAAATTTGGAAAGCGAAAAAAAGGGACAGGAAGAATTCAGAAGATTAGAATTTGGGAGAACACAAAGAGTGGATGCACCTACGCCATTGCTAACGATCTCGAGCCATGTGCCACTCAAGGTCTCTAACCATCGGTTGCTATCATCTCGCGGATCCCAACCAGGTAGTCTACACCTACCCACATGACTCAGTCCACCTGTCAGTGACTTCATGGATTTGTGCCGTGTTTTGATCTCGCCGTTCATAGCTTTCTTCTAACCTCCTCCTACTGTGTTGGGGCAGTCGGTGGTTGGGCATACGTAACACATGTTCCAGCCATCTCAACTGACGAAGTTTCAGTACTTCATCAATTGATTTGCCATGCTTACCTAGTACCCGTTTCCTAACAACTGCATTACTTACTCGATGGTCCCAGGATATACGAGCAATGCTTCGAAGACACCTATGATCAAATACTAGTAACCTACGGATATCCTCTACTCTTACTGGCCATGTTTTACTGCCATAAAGTAGGACGGAACGAACTGCTGCGCAGTAAACACGTCCTTTGATTGGTAGATGGATATCTCGCCTACGCTATAAATGACGCAAGTTGGCAAAAGCTAGTCGGGCCTTCTGTATCCGTGGTGAGATTTCGTCACACACCAGGCCACAAAGACTTATGAGACTCCCAAGATAAGTGTTCAAGAACGCAGATTGAGTACTACAATCTAATTTGAATATTCCCGTTACACAAAATTTAACTATTTCTCACGTTCAGAAGAGTAGTCCCATTCGAAAGAAATCTGTGTAGATTTCTTGATAACTATTATCAATCATTAAATTTGAAACTTTATAGGTTCTGTTTTTTTTTAACTTTTGTTGACGGCAATGTAAGAAACTTATTATTAGTTAATTGGTTACTTAAAAAGTCTGAATAATAACAAGGATGATAGGCTTTATTGATCCTCAGTTGGATTTTTGTCAAATTCAATAGCGATCATACAAATTAATTGATTTGCGGAATTCGGCAGGATACTTTCAAATACCAAAGAATAACCATTGTTCAGCCTGAATTAAAAGTAACCAAAAGAAATTATGTCTAACTTACATCTGGTGTCAAAGCATTTGCTACGACTGGACTCAAAAATCCTGTCAATGCGCCAAGTGAATTAGAAGCAGAAAACAGTAAACCAGAATATTTTGGTGTGATTTCGATTGGACTAAGCATTCCACCAGAGAAAACACCAGAACTAAGGAACAGTCCAAATGTTAGTAGAATAACAACTGCATATTTATTATGATAGTCAAACAATGTGATCAGTATCATAAGGAGAGCCGGTCCAAACATACCTATGGAAGAAAGATTTAAAAAAGAAACATACACATTTTGTACTTTCTTTATATATGTGTTGAGGAGGGGGATCTGTAGAAACTATGATAAAATGATCTTTATATTAGAGATAAGTGTTAAGGCTAGTAATCTAAGCGTTTAAGAAGGAATTGTAACAATTTTGTATTGGCAAAGATTATTTGATAATGAATGGATGCAATATGTCAATATGAGCAGAATAAAAATTTAAGTTACTCAAAAATTCAGGTTATGAGTTTTCCTTACCTACAGAAACAATGTGAGCCATGAGGCCTGATCCGTAACTAGATTTCTTCTTTAAATTATATTTAGAGTAAAAATTTGAAATGTGGAGTGTAAGAGAAGAGCAACTGTTCACACTAAATTGTACTCCTTCTATGTAGGAGAAGTGGGACAGTAAAGTGGTTAGGAGAGTTACTTTCACGGACGCAGAAGGTAAATGACTTATCGTAAAGATACAAATTACTAATAAACCTTTCTATATTTTGAACTAAGAAACTGATATAATGGGATAATCAAAATTAGAATGATTTACTCATTTCATACACATAGTTCCCTTTATTATCTTAAATAGAGCAAGAACAAAGATTGGTGCAGAATAATATGAATTCATTTTATTTCGTTAGGTTCTCATCAGCTGCTTACAACCTAAATTATTTAAAACTCAACATTAATACAGATATTGACATATTTATATATAAGAGTGTGATTAAGGATCAATACATGTGTATGATGATGTAGCGAATATTCAGATAGAGTTAATGAGTTCATAAAATGTTTGATTCGAATAAATAAAGTTAGAGAGGGAAAGTTCCAGAACATTGTAATTTTTGTCCAATATTAATTCCATTTTAATACAATGTAATCATTACTTAGTATAGTATTTGTTTCTGTTTTCTCCTATGACATTTTATTCTATGTAACACCATATTCTTATATTAAGTTAACATGAACTATAATGGGCATGTAATTTGTTATAACTTTAAGTGTTTTTCATATATGTGATTTCATCCTATTTATTAATCAAAAAATGGGTGTACAGTCAATACATAAATGAGTGTATTTCCGACTAAACTTGTTGTGGTTGTTCGTGCTTATGGCTGCTTGTGGAATATATTCCCCTCTTTCGAACTTGAACTTCTCTTTCTAGTTAGCTGGGCAGGGATGCGTTGAAACAACTAGTTTATCTGTCATTGTGTCACAGAGTCTTCATTCCGCTCTCAGATTAGGTGAACTCATAATTTCTTCAAACAAATCTGAATATTGAGATCATGAACCGATTGATGTTAGACCATCACAATTGAAAACCTGGAAGCACTGGACGGCCGTCCCACAATAGGACGAAACGGCCGTCCAGTGCTTCCAGGTTTTCAATTGTGATGGTCTAACATCAATCGGTTCATGATCTCAATCAAAAACTTAATAATCTCCACAACCCCTATACTAGTAAATCTGAATATCTTTTTCTTTAATAGACTGTTTCTTGATGTTTGGTCATTTGTAGCAGAAGTTGTTAACAACGGTTGGTAAACACAATTCTACTAACAGATGATCATAGACTCAATAGGGAGTACTATGTATTATCAAAATGTTTGAAGACTAGATTAGTTCGTAAAATTCACCATGATTCTGTTTTGTTCGTAGTAACTGGTGAATTTCAGAAGCAGTGTCATCGTTATGGGAGCTGTGACATCTTTTATTTGCAAAACATCTTCCGAAACAGAGGTTTAGTGACTAGTGGAGAGGTATTAGTGCGCCGTAGTTATAGCAAATAATTATCGATTTCAAAGGCGATATTTGTTACAGATATCTTGAAGAGGAGAATTTTAACTCTCTCAATAAGACGTTTTTTGGAGCAACTTTGAGAATAGTATTTTCCAACCAATCAATGTTCAACAATAAATCTAAGGATTAATTATTTCATTAGATTGATTCTATGTGCGTTTATCAATTTACATGTTCATGTAGAGTCATGTATATAGGTCATTCGATGTGTATTTTATCTAAAATAATTCAAGAACATTACCCGGTTTGGCTGAAAAGAGGTGGAAATGGGTCAATAAGAAGTTCAATAATCGAAAACCTTATTAACACAGATCATTCAATCAAAGGAGATTCTGTATTCAAAATCATCTATAAGATAAGTAGAGAGCTGCCAAAAGCAGTTATATTCCATCTTCTTAGCATTGCCGAAGCACTGCTTTACATCTGGAATTATGCATCCAAAAGAAACTGTTACAACTTCTACTTCTACCATGGCCTTAATCTCGTAGTTTCTTCTTCATTCTTTTCTTTCTTCACGGCCATCTGCTTCCCTTCTGTCTTCTTTATAGACCTTCTATCCCCCTCCCAAGTGATTTGTTTCTGTTTCCATGATCCTTCTGATTACGGTCCATCTGAATTTCAGCATTTTATCCTAACGTACTGAGCCTTTCTTTCCAAATTGTAATTTCCCAATCTATCTTCATAATGATTATTCAGTTTCTCAACAACACAATTATTATTATTAGTTTTAATAAAAATAATGATTTTATGCCACTTTTTATTCTATCTCACTGTTGCCATATTTAGCGGAATCTTATTGTCACTATTATCGTTTTGAAAAATATGTATAGACTTTGCAGCATTGATAATGAATTCGTCGAAAAGAGAACTCTTTGCTGGGCCAAACATTTTTATTTTTACATCTCAATACGTATATTCCGTTAAGTATAGAAAAGACTTTAGTACTTGAATAAGTATGAAGTAACATTGTTAATCTTAAACTCTGTGGTTAATTGTGCATACGCGTCAATGTATTGATCGGTTTACATTGCCTTGGAATTATTGCTGTTCCAGATAAAAGCATCAGCATCCTATCGAAAAGAAAGAATGACACTAAGATTGATCACGAAGACAGTACTTCATAGGATTGAGGCATTGTATTCTGTGTCATTTCTACTAAGGGAGGGATTTTCTAGAATCCCCTCTAATCAAAAGGTCAAACCCAGATGTTACTTTTATGTAATCATGTACAAAAAAGATGATAGGAAGTTAGATTTCATAAATTTCCCTCCGTGTATTTATTTAATTTGATGTTATATTTTATTTACTTTACTTAAACATATTTGTTCATTTTGATCCGAGTTTAACCAGTGAAACAGTCGCTACCTAGTTACCTAGGTACTAGATCTTATTGTTGACAATTCTATTTAGTCAGATTATTTCTGTAGTACGGACCAAATAAATCTAGCTTCTAGTGGTTAACTTAAAATCAGCACATCGTTAAATTTGATGAGATTATTGTCACAAATGTAGTACTTTAAGATTAAGTTGTTAAATATTACCGTTTAGTTTAAAGGAGGACAGTTAACTTATTCAATACGGCAAATCCTCTCAGTTCCGTAAACAACACCCTCATCACGAGAAGGCAGTGAGTAGAACATCCCTATCAGTAGCTGTATACGCGTGGTCGTTTGAGAGCGGACTCTCTCCACCCTTGGTCGTACCAGGCATTTTGGAGCATTTCCTTATCAACTTATCTCAAGCTATAAATAAAAGTCTAAAAGAATTGATGAAACCAGTGAAATGTCTGCCTGTCAGTCATTTCAATCAAAATGAAATAATTTAGGCACAAAATGTTTAGTCCTAAAAAACATAGTAGTTAACAACAGCTTATAGTCAAACTACATATACATATGATGAAAATATTTATTTAGAACTTTTTTGATCTTAATGACTCGCTCATTATATATCATTGTTTACAAAGAAATTATTATGTCATTGTTGTTGTTTTACAAAGCGTAAACACTATGTATTTATTTTCTCCAAGTGAATGGCTTTTAAGCACAAAAATCAGACCTACTCACCTATGCTGTTCATCAGTTTACGAACAACACTCAAAGTTAGAATTCGCCGAGTCAAAAGGATGTCGGATATCCAACCAAATATTAGTTGTCCTATCCACATGCCGATGTATGGTAGGGAAGACAGCAGAGCATTCTACAAGACAATTAGATCATTAATCATTATGACGGTTAACGATGGCTCCAAGAACGAAAATGTATTATGACAGTATAGTTGGTTAATAAAATGCATGAGTTGAACGATCAAACTAATTAATTTTCATGGAATTTCTAACCAAATCCCAACTGAATAGATATAGGATGACAGGACCGCTGACCAACGAAATGGAAATATTAGGGGATTGAAAATGTTACCTGGTCTACAAAATACTGAATATTGATGGTGCAATTTAAATAATCACGAAAAGAAAGAAGGAATATCGCAAAGTAACAAATGATTTCCTTCTATCGACCCTTGAGAATAATATTGTCCGACCGGCCATTTTTTTAAAAAGAAAACCCCACCCCATAAAAAAAATTTTCCACCCCCAAATTACAATATTGAATTGAGATGAAAGGATAATAAGTGTCAAGACTAGTTGTTACAATCTAACAACATTAGTCTTGGATAGTCATGTTCAGCAAACCAAAACCTTGCAGTTAGAACATGGACACTGTAGTGTCAGTCATTATTTTAAGCCCATAATATATCTTATTCTAGTTTTTGGACAAACCAATCTATTCATTCTACTTGAGTCATATGTTGACCTTGTCAATTATTCGCTTGTCAGTCTTGATTGTTGTTATATATGAGCGTATATGTGTGTACACTTCATATCCCTGTCTCATCACATGTCTGTAATTTATTTTGTCTGCCTATAAGTATTGAGTAACGCCTGGCTAGAAATGGAGTTGGCTTCCCAGCCATTTCACCTGGGCGTCATTTCGCTTTGTTCTATCTCATTCACTTTACATACAAAATATATGTATTCAAAGGCCATTCTTGTTAATTGACTTATCTAAATTCCGTTATCGACTAACGTGATTAAAGTCGATAATTGTATACGAGGAGAGGTGATAATGAACATTCGTACGATCTAAATGGAGTCAGATCCACGGGTCACTAAATTGGAAAGCCCTTTCGACAAAATTACGGGCCCCACTAAAACACTATTGTGTGCTAGTTTACTATTTAATGGTTAGATTTATAAAGTGAGGAGAAAGTAGCTTGATGAATATCGAGTGAAGATCGAGGCAAATAACAAGTGCTTTTTCACAACTAAGAAGGATCCAAACCGGTTAAAAAACTGAATCGGAACAGCTGTGAAAACTGTTTGACGAATACGTTACTTTGGTAATTTCTCAAAATGCCTTACAAGTAGGTATGCAAATATTAATTCGGAACATTTAAATTGTGGTTAATAAAAATATAATTGGTGAGCATAACTGCAATGTCATGCAGGTATATTCGTAATCTGTTAAAAACATATGTGTTGTGTCCCGACAAGAATAATGAATGGTAACTTTTGGGATCCATTTATGGACCAACACTAAACGTATATTTCTATTGTATTATTATTAAGTAACTAGACTAAGCATATTCATATACCTCTTATTATAAGCTTTATTTCGACCCATAAACTATTATTATGCGTTTTACCATTCTTGAGTTATACCCAGTATATTAATCACTACCTCCCTCATTCACAGCCACATCTGGCTAATTCTTGTACAAATGTTTCATATTTTATTGGCACGTTATGGTCTGTTTGATTGGTATATGAGCTCAGTATGTTTGAAATATAATGATTCATATTGCAGAGGGTGAGATTGGTGTTCTGGACTTAACTGGCTGGGCTAGGCGGAAAGTAGGGCTAATCACGACCCTAGGCTGCTCATACGGGTTTACGCGTCCTTGGTTCGGTCGATAAGTCACTGCTCCTTAATTGGCGGTCACAAGTTATAAAAATATGGCGATGTGGATACAAAAAGAAAGAAGTAGATAAAGTGTCACTAAATTATGTGAATAATGTATAAGAATATTCGTCTAAATTTGATCGAATAGTTCCAAAGTATTTGGGCGCTGAGTTGATGTGAGACATTAGAAACGAAAGAAACTACTTGTAAAATCTCAGGGAATGGATTTGAAGTAATAGATCCAACGTTTCGCCTGGCAATCTGGTCCAAGTTTTTTCAAGGAAATATAATCAAACATCAAATTTATCAAATATAAATATGTATTAGAAGGGGTTTTGTGGAGATTGTAGAAATTTCAATAGTTTAGATCATGAGTCAATTGAAGCTAGGACCACCATGAAAAACCTAGAAGCACTGGACGACCGTTTCGCCCTGTTGTGGGATTCCTCAACAGTGCGCACCCACGACCCCGCCTCGCGGGATTCCAACCCAGTACCGACCAGTCTCGCGCGCGAGCGCTTAGCCACTAGACCACTGAGCCGGTATTAGTACTATTTGGATTTGCTCATGTATGTAGGCCTTCGGCTATTAGTCCTTCTTTGTAAGAATTAAAACCTTTTTGAAGGATTCTTGTACCACTGAAACAAATTGTATGACCCGATTCTATTGAGTGTAATGCTATTGCTGATTTGTTTACAAGTGGTTTTTTACATCATCTGAGGATTTAGGAATATGCTTTTGGCATAGTTTGTGTTCCTTCACTCTCATATTTAGTTGTCTTGATGTTCCACCCACATATGTAGCATTTTAGTGACCACATTTGATTTCATAAACAGTTTTGTTGTTCCTCTTTGTGTATTGAGTCTTTGACTTTTACTAGTTTGATCTTAGAGTATTGCTTGTTCGAAAGAATATCCTTATATTTTGTAGGGTTAGGATTCTTCTGTGTTAGCCCATCCTTTTTTTTATCTCTTTTTTTATTATCTTTTTGTTCTTTGTTCTTAATTATCCTTGTTATAAAATCCCTCAAGTAATTATTCATCATCTCACTTCTACCTAAAGTTTTTGCTGATAATGTCGTTCATAACAACGCTCAAAACTCCACGACTAAACCATTCAGTTCAAATGACAGAACTCCATTAAAATTACTTTAAATCCATTCGCTGAGACTTTACAAATACATTCTACCTGCTTATTTGTCTATATGAGTAATATGTAGAATGAGATTGACAATGAATATAATCAGAATAAACTTAAATAATAAAAGTGCATAAACGTTGTGACCAAATAGTGGGTGAAGGCCACGGGAAACAGGATGAAACAGAAGATTTTAGTATGCATGAAATTGGTAGGAAAAGTCCGATTTCTATGGCCTCACCTATGGTTAGCTAACGGAGACGCACTAAGTTTTAAACTTTCAATGTAACTTCGTACGTGATACTGATTGCTAAGTTCTTGTCTAGCCAAATCAGCATAAAACATCAAATGGGTGAATACACATTGACTAATTAACTGTAGATATCTTAGTAGAATAGAACGTGAGTCACAGCTCAGGTAGGTTAATGTTAACGTGATGCTGGAAGACGGAAATTTCTATCCCGCAAGGAACATCTGTTCCTCTAAGATTACAAGTATGTCTTGGTCAGTCAGTGTGGTCTTCAGTGCTGTTAGAGGTATGAGGGCGGTTATTACTTCCCGGTTGCCAACACCGTGGAGGGGTTCTTCTGGAGGTACCTGAAAAGGAAATTGGATTAGAAGTGGTCTTAATGACCTGGGAGCGTGACCGCAGTGCCCAAGGGACAACTGTTTGAGGTCGGTCACACACGACCTTTATGTGGGCAATTTTTGTGTTAACTCCGTACTTGTTGAGACCTTACCGCCGGAGACGGATATCCGTGGGATAAGGCGAGGTGTGCATTATTAGGGTCGACCTTTTCTAACTCCACCCCTCCTTGTGGGAAGGCAGCATCGCTGTCATGCTGGTTGTCTGAAGGAAACACCTTACTGCTGCCACACCTCTGTATAGTCAGCAGTACGACTTCGCCTTCGGACCTTGGGTTTGTTGCATTTAGTCTTACCGCTCTTCAACCGACCTTTCTGACGTGGTAGGACCTTGAGGAACAGTTGTTCCAGTCAGTATAGCGCAGTTGCGTCATCACGATAGACAAGCCCGACCACCACGTCAAGGTAGCAACAACGGTCGGGGTATGCCTTGGTGGGGAGTGACAACACTAAACCTGGGTCCAGGGTATCTTGTCTACTACTTCCAACTACCTAGTATATTAGGCATTACACATTGAAAAGTTGCGTCAAAAATTAGAGAGGCGTTAAAGTATCAGTGATTTATTGTTTGGGAATTTCATCAACTTAAATTGTCTTGGATACTCACAAACTGTAGAGCTTCGCCGAAAACGTTGAAATCGGTCTACATTTGGTTATTTCAATCACATTCCGATTCTTTACTGACATATTATTCGTTTCCAGTTCAGAAGTCAAACTCTTATATTCCTCACAAATGTGAATTAGTCTTGGACAACTGGTAGTTGTGGATTCAAAGTATTCATAAATACACTAGATTGTCGAAAGTGGTTGAAAAATATCTGTATCGGGAATAGGTAGCTGATAAGTCTAAGAAGTGATGATCTGTTCCCTCAAGCGTCACAAAGTCAGATTAACACGGTGGGGATAAATAGTTTCAGTGACACCATTCACTGCGTTGATCTTAAACGATAACTCTAAGTTATCTCTTATATGTCTCTGTTTGTTTAGTATAGAAATAACATTAATAAGAATAACCTAATAAGCACTTCTCAGTGCTATTTGTCTTCATATAGGAAGTGTAGTGTGGAATATTCGTGAAATTACAGTAGATAAAAATATGGTGGCATAAGACTTAGCATATAATCTTATATCGGTTAAACAAGTAGCATATCAAAATTTCTTTCAAACTACAAAAACAGACTTATAGGATTAGCACATTAGTCACAGAAGCTTTAGTTACCAATGGATAACGTTTTGAAGAATTCCCAGACAATTTTCTGCATTATTTATCAGCTTTTATTTTCATTATAAGATGCAAATATTCAAAGTCTAACAACATAATATTTACATATGTAATGCTTATCAGTCAATCAATAAATAATCTTTAAGTAGTTTTCAACGTAAGTCGGTAAAATGAGTTATTTGTAATGTTAGGATCTTACTGTTATTATTGGAGTTGTCTGAATTTCGGTTTATTTTCATGCTGAACCACTAATTCGTACGTTTTTAAGTAAAGTTGGATAGTAGTTTGAAGTGGAATCAAGAACATGCGTTCCACCCGATTTAGGACTCGTTAGCTGGATGTAGCCTCATCCCAGGACTACAACTCAGTACCTTTTCACTTCAAACGCCGAAGTGTTACCCGCTCAGCTACTGGTTTGTGCAAAGCCAGGTAAGTTTTATTATTCATTTGTATATATTAAAGACTGGGAACTGATCAGTACTGAACTGATATTTCATTTTAATGTTCATCCCTCCAGTTGTCCAATGGTTAAACGCTCGCAGGGAGACCAGGAGTTCCGGAGTTCAATCTCTCGATAGGGTTTTGCATGAGCAGTACTGAGTTCCATAACAGTAAGAAACAATTGTCTGTTGCACCACAGTTCTCATCTGTACTCCAACTGAGGTCCGCTCGTGTAGTACACCGTCAATAAATTAAGTTACTGCAGAAACTCTTGTCATCACAACCACAACACTGTAGCAGTTTGGTCGTGTTTAACTGAAATTTGTAAACTCATATTTAAGTCATGCAACAAGTTGGAGTCAAACATCTGATGTATTCAATATTGGCTGCAATGATCGTTGTCAACGACTCTGTTGTTAAGAAAGTTGTGTTAATTTTTTTAAACAATCCAAACGAATGAAATAATGAGAAATATTTTACAAATCTACTAAATTTTAAACCAAACGCTTTTCACTGACTAAAGGGTAAAACATACTTGTTGAAAATCAAAGTGCAACACTTCACGCATATACGTTGGTACGCTAGTTAGAAATGTATATAAATTCCAATCTATGCCAATATTTACAACAATGAATGCCCAAACAGGGAGTGATGTCAAAATGGATTTTATTGGGATCTACATTTAAAATAATGTATAAAATTAATTTTGCATGACCTAATAAATTTTTTTTAATAGTTACCTAAAATGACATCAAAATGATAATATTGTTTACTTTATCATTCATTGTATCTTTCGAATATCGAATAACATATTATCAATTTTATAATTAGGCTACTCAATGTTTATACTGATTATGCATTATTGTATTGAAATACATAAAAACTGTTGATTCTATTGATTTCCTTAATAATTACTATACAACCCGATAGAGTAAGTTCTGCATGATCCAGCTAAGAAAAACAGAAGTTTATCCAACAATCTAATAGGTTACTCATAATTCTAATTTCTTGAAGCAAATATTATACCTGTATAGTATCATGTAAACCGATTGTAAAATATTATTAGACAAATTTCACAAGTTCTCGTCGTCTTTGAATAGTATAGACACCCTATACAGTTTTATGTACAAAGAGCCAATAAATAAATGTATCAGTTTAGTGAAGTAGTTAATAGAGTAAACTGTTTTTGTTGATTAGTTTTTGGGCTTCTTATGAACTTTAAGTGAAATAATCAACAATCTAATTAATGCTAATCAATCAACCAAATCCAGTGCGTATGGGTGATGATATTGTAACCTTTTGGTGTTCGAGCAGTAGCTTCACGGTTTTATGATGGTCATCTCCAATATATAGTGACTATCATGCAACTGAAACTTCAGTGAATAAACAACAAGGTGAAACATTTTTAAATACAAATTTATACACCTACTAGTGTCACTCTGACATCTCGAGATCAACCACTGTAAAAACTGTTAAACTAATACTACAAGATACATCATTATTTTGTGTGTGCTCAAATCAGAAAAGTGGATATGGAAAATATTTGTGAACTTCGAACAAAATTATCTAGGTTCGACCTGCTATGAGATCCGTGTGATGTTCAGCCTTCACAGTAAGACAAAGATGTGGTGTGCTTATATAATCAGATTAAGATTATGTCAACTAGGGTTTCTTCCAACTACCAACATTCAACAAATTCTTGAGCACAGCAAGATTTCAACAACTTATTCAAACAGTAAGCGATTCCATAAACATGTATCTAGTCATCTAAACTTACCTGAAGATATAATTATTTTTCAGAAATTGGTGTTTGCAATACAGAAAATTTAGACAACTTTGACAAGTCATGAAGTAAATCTCAAAACATAGAATTAAGAGCTTTTATTCAATGCCTGATTAAACTATCTTCCTCCTAGCTATTATCCACTGAATTGTTTAGTATTGGGTTTTTCCATTTAAAAGGATTACATATTGAAAGTATGATATGCAGTTCAAGATAATAATTTGTAGCATTGAATGGAACTATCTGTAATTCAAGTACATGATACAAGAACGTCAATCTGAGTTGTGAACTGTTAAACCACCAAATACTGAGTATTAATTTTACTTTAAGTGAGTAGATTGTTTACTTCTTTTTACCTTATGCTATTAATGTTAATAAACAATTTAATTGGTCTGTAGCATATAGTACCATTACACATTTACATAATTCATCCTAGCTTTTCAACAGACTTAGTAACTCAGGCAACATGTGACTAATGCGTTACGTTTACTATCACAATAACTCAAGTCTTTCCATGCGAAATTTTGACCAGTGAATATGCCTCTTATATTTATGTCATGTAATTCTACTGTTGTGCATCTTATTGTATTTGTGTGTTTGCGCATTTATTATTTTATCCAATAGCCGTCTCGATGCACTACGCATTATGTATTTTGAAGTATACTGACACCTGCAACTGATGATATTTGGAGTTGGCACGTTCAGACTCACCGCTTCTCACCTTACTGTCCATCTGAGTAAACGAGTGCCTGAAGTAAATTCGTCTTATTTAATTGGTATTTGGCTTTTGTTACAGCCGTCTCCCAAGCTTGCGTAAAATATACAAAACCAAACGTAGGATCTATATTCATGGTAAATTCATCGTTTGTTCTTCCATCATTCCTAATGAAATCAATGTCTCAGCAAGTTAAACTAAGTGGGTTCCATTACATTATTGACTGTAAGTGGTTTTTAATTTAAGCATGACAATATTATGTAAATTAACTGATTTTTAATTCGATTCAATTTACAATACACTACTTACCTTTCCTTGGCTGTTTTTCATTATAACTGGGCAGGTTGATTCTAAATAAGTCTTTTCTTTCATAGATATTCTTGGATTTAATTTAGGTTCATCATATACAAACATGAACCATATCATACAATAAACAAAGCTGACTGCACCTTTTATGTTATAAGAAAGTTTAAAAATAAGCAAACATATGAATGTTTAAAAGCACCAGTTTGTTGCTAGATCAACTGATCAAATAAATTTATATTTGATGTTGGATATTCGAAGCAGATTGGGAAGTAGTCTGTCGACCCAGACTCCGTGTGTCTTAATTCTCGTCAACTAAGTGTATGTCTACGACTTTCAGTGTGGCTACATGTCTAGGTGACTTGGAATCGCTTGCAACGTAATCCATAGAACTTGATCAGTATTAAGAACTGGACAAACACAACATCGGTTACTATTCAGTAGTTATCAATATAGATATCTCAGTTTTGTACGAAGTTGCTCACGCCTTGAGTGGCTCAGTAGCAAAGTCTTTGGTTGCAAACGTGGGTGACGAGGATTCATATCCGAAGAATGACATAAATCTCATGATTACGGATACATATCGCTGAACAATTTCAGCTAGTACAAAACGTATGTTCAGGGCTTTCTGTCAAATGCCTTCAACCACCTACCAAGTGTATTTTGCGCCCCTCATCACTTAGGAAACCGATGTTCCCACAGCGAATTAAGTGCGTTTGATTGTCCATCTTAGTCAGATAAGCATAACTCATTTATTCGGAAAACAGATAAACCTTTATGCTTGAGCATAATAATTATCACACGAACAATAACCTTTAGTATGTTGTTTGCCCCACTGCAGTATCCAACTTCTATTGTTCCTGTATAATGATTCATCGTTATGGTATGGAATTAGCCGTAGTAAGATGAAGGAGAGCTATGTGTTCACAAGTGGCTTGGGATACTCTAGTAACAACAAGCATTAAAGGCAGATATGAACAGAATTACTTAGGATATGACCACAAAAAGAACATCAACAGTGAGAGAGTGCACAAAGGTAGAATTATAGAGATATTTAAATTAGTAAGTGAAACTTAATTTTAGCAATTATGTACGAGTTCATCCGACGAAAAGCGAATGTCCGGCGCTTTAACCGGATCCAAACCAATGGTACACATGGGCTCCAGTATCCTGAAGGAACAAACGGCGTATGAACCAATCGTTGGTCACCGGCTACCATGGGACTGCATCTCCTCACGATGCTCCACTGCCTTGTGGATCAAACCTTTAGGTCAAAGGCTCGGGATGTGGCCCCTAAGAAAACCACCTGCTTCGGTTTGGGCACCCGGGCAATATCACAGCCCACACACACAAATATGGTGTGGCGCATATATATTTGGTGCCCTCTTGTACCAATATTTATGTGTTCAAACAAATAAATAATAAAAATTTCATTCGTTAAGTGTTGAAGCACAATTATCATTTCAAAACTAATAATACTAAGAGGTAGTTTAAATTTCTGAAGAGATAAAGACATCAAGGAAATAGAATCATAAAACTTAAATCATCGAATCACATTTCGATATTGAGATGTAAATAAGTGCTTGTTTTCAATTAAGGGTATAGTCAAATTCAGATTTAGGAATTTTTTTGCACTATTAAAAATTTCTACGTATTTACTAAATTAAGTGTTGTCAGTTTAAAAGCTTTCTCCCAATATTTCACAAGTTTAAGATTGAAATTATCCTGATTTCAAATTTGAAAAAATGATATTTATTAAATCGTCAAGCTGCAGTTTTAAGTAGAATGGAAACGTATATTAATATGCAAATAAATAATTTCTTTGCATCGAATTACTGGACAAATAATATAATACCCTCAATATTCAAAATGTTTAACTGGGATCCATAGCTAACAGAGTCATTCCTAAGTAAGCTCTTAATTTCCTATTGATGATAGTGTAAATGTGGTTCTTTAGTTTTATAATTGTGTTTTTAACTATTCGATCATATGTTAAAAGACAAGTTTACGTAATTTGACTTCACCATTCAATTAGTACTATGATCCATCAAGTGATAAGTGTGGCGTGATATTTAAAATGTAAATGCGCATTTTGTTAATTAGTAGCATCTCAAATTTAATTTGTACAAAAATGATTGACTCACCATAGAAGTAGAAAACTAGTGACCATCCCAATGATGTCTGACACAAAGCACCAGTAATAGGCATTGTAATAGCACTACCTACATGAAGTCCTATCATAATATTCAATGTAAAACAATATAGTCAGACTGATTCCAATAATGAAATTATAAATCTGTAGTACGGGACAAGACTAAAATCTCTTTGGTACATTACTAAGAGATATAATGTAAAAAAACCTTTATGATAAACGTTTTAACTGAAGTGAATACATGGTTATACAAAGCTTATACATATATACAGTTACTGATAAAATTCCAAATCTATATGTTTGGAACCATAGACTAAAGACAATAAAACAAAATCAAACAGGAAGTTTATTACGGATGCTACCTGCATAAGCAAATCCAATTAAGAGTCCACGCTCATTTGGAGGTGCCCAAGCAGCCCAAAGTTGATAGAATCCAGGAAACCAACTTGCCTAAAACACCAATAAATAACTTATGTTTAAAAATATAACTAGTGAATAACAAGTTCCAAACACTGGTCATTAAAAAACAAACGAAATGATATCGTCACTTGAAAAGAACAGGGATGAAGCATGGATAATTTTTCCATACTTATTTTAAACTAGCAAAAGATAGTTTAGCTAGATATCAACAATTAAAACTGGTAGTCGATGAAATAAAAGTTTCGCTAGTTCATATTTCAATCTATTCCACACGCTGGACCAGTCAGAATAAATTTTAATTGCCTTTCTCGTCCAATTCTGGGTTTCTTAAACACGAAAACATGTAAAGTCAGTTTGGGCACCCGGGCAGTATCACAGCCCACATACAAATTGATGAACTCTTTATGCCTATGGAAATTACCTTTCTCGCTTTGAAAAACAAACAATTGATTCAGATTATTATCATTACAATTATTGTCATTATTAATACTATTATTATTATTACTACTATTGTTGTAATTATTATTATTATTATTTCCCACATTATTCACCCTCTTTCATACTTATACAGCGGCTCGGCTTTGGTGGAAATCCGACTGTATCTAAACGTTCTCGAGTCACTTTCCGGTTGAAAGTTGTATGTTACCATCGAATATGAGTACTGAAGCAGTTTTTCTGAAACCACGTGGGCCATTCAAACTGGCTGCCTTCAACGTTCGCACACTTATGCAGGTTGGTCAACAGATAGGGCTGGCCATGTCTTTGGAAAGTCTTAATATTGATGTTTGTTGTCTATCCGAGACCCGCATTCAAGACTCTAGCGAAGTACTACAAATTCGCTCTACATCTGTCACTTCAAAAAGCTTGTTTTATGTGCACTTATCCGGGGACCATGTGGCATCTTCGTCTGGTCTTGCTGGCGTTGGTGTCGCACTAAGCGCTAGAGCTGAAGCAGCACTAGTCGATTGGATCCCCATTAACAGTCGGTTATGTGCTGTTAGATTAGAAAGTTCCATCAAAGTGAGAAGAAATCGGCGTGAGAAACGATGTCTTTTCGTCATCTCCGCCTATGCCCCGACAGATTGCAGCCCGGATGCAATCAAGGATGAGTTTTACCACCAGTTACCTGTTCTTCTCCAGAAAGTGCGTTCGACAGATATTGTAGTACTGGCTGGAGACTTGAATGCTCAGGTCGGGCGTCTAGGCACAGAAGAGAGTCGTTTAGGTGGCCGATGGGGACTTGTTAGTCACAGGACAGATAACGGGGACCGTCTACTGCAACTGTGCACAGACCACAACCTGTTTCTGGCTAGCACTAACTTTCGGCACAGTCATCGCCGATGTGCCACCTGGCGTCCTCCTTCTGCATCCCAAGCCTGGACTCAGATTGATCACATCGCGATCAGCTACCGCTGGCGTGGTTGTGTACAAGACTGCCGCTCCTTTTGGAGTACCTATCTGGACTCTGACCATGCCTTGGTCTGCGCCAATCTTGCCTTACTTTTCAGTGGCCAACGAAGTGATCACCACCAAAAGATTGATGTTAGCAAGCTGGTTGCAATTTCTGTTGCAAATAAGTATCGAACCGAGCTAGCCTCTAGGCTAGCTACCATTCCACCGAAAAGTATAGATGAGCATTGGTTGCAATTGCATGACGCCATGAAAATGGCGGGAACAGTCAGTTGTGGGTTTGCGAAACGTCCCGCTTTTAAGCACTGGGTTTCTTCTGGTTCCTTACAACTCATTGAAGCCCGTCGGTCTACTCCGGGTGACCGTGAGTTTGACCATAAACGAAGGATGTTATGTAAGGAAATCGGGCAAAGCTTGCGTAAGGACCGAGAAGCCTGGTGGTCGAAGCGTGCTAATGAGCTGGAAGCAGCAGCTGCATCTGGTAACTACCGGAAGCTCTTCCAGCTCATCCGAGCCACTGGCAGCAAGAAGTCTGGTGTGAGTGAAACAATCTGCGAGGATGATGGGATGCCAATCACTAACATCCATCGACGTCTTGGACGGTGGGCAGAATTTTTCGAAAGGCAGTTCAACTGGCCTGCTGCTCCGGCAACATCAGTCAGACTGTCCTGCCCTCCATGGCCGGTGACGACTGATCCACCAAACGAGGTGGAAGTCCGCAAGGAACTCCAACTCTTGAAGCGTTACAAATCACCTGGCCCAGATGACTTACCTCCGGCTGTTTTTAAAGATTGTGGTGACTTTTTGACTAAGGAATTGACGACGTTGTTTACAAAGGTTTGGGAACTAGAGAGTGTACCAACGTCATGGAATGAGTCGATAGTTGTCCGTATCTGTAAAAAGGGTTCACGTCGTTCCTGTAACAACTATCGGGGGATAAGTCTACTTCCGATTGCGTCCAAGCTATTGGCTTCCGTCATACTTCGTAGGTTGTTCAAAACCCGAGAATGATTGACTCGCGAGGAGCAGGCTGGGTTTCGTTCTGGTCGAGGATGTATTGATCATATCTTCACCCTCCACCAAATGTTAGGACACCGCCATACTTTTCAAAGGCCAACAATCGTAGTGTTTCTTGACATCAGGGCTGCCTTCGATTCGTTGGACAGGGCTGTTCTCTGGGATTATCTTTTAAAGAAGGGTGTGCCTGAGAAGCATATTAACATCCTAAAAGCCCTATATACAAACACTTCAGGCAGAGTGAGGGCATACAACCACCTCTCTCCATTGTTCCATTCGAGCAGTGGGGTTAGGCAGGGTTGCCCAATCTCACCATTCCTCTTCAACTTTGCCATCGATGACATTCTGGAAACAGCTCTGATGAATGTAAGTAATGGTGGTGTGGATCTGTTGCCTGGAGAAAGACTTCTCGACCTTGAGTATGCGGACGATATTGTCTTACTGTTCGATAATGCCCAAGGCATGCAATCCGCACTTAATCAGTTGGCAATCAGTGTCCGTAGGTATGGTATGTGCTTTGCACCTTCGAAGTGCAAAGTACTTCTACAGGACTGGCAGGATTCCAATCCTGTACTCACCCTGGATGGTGAGCGGATAGACGTAGTCGAGAAGTTCGTGTATCTGGGTAGCTGTATAAGTGCTGGTGGAGATGTGAGTGATGAGATCAATACACGAATAGTGAAAGCCAGAGCGGCTTATGCCAATCTGGGCCATCTATGGCGCCTTCGTGATGTTAGTCTGGCCGTAAAAGGTCGGATCTACAACGCGTCAGTGAGAGCAGTTTTGCTCTATGCTTGTGAAACCTGGCCTCTCCGAGTTGAGGACGTTAGACGACTCTGTGTTTGATTATCGTTGTCTCCGAAGGATTGCTGACATTCAGTGGCAACACCATGTCAGTAATGCAGTGGTTCGGCATCGTGTGTTCGGGCACAGAGATGATAATTCAATTGGTGTCACCATCTTGAAACACCGACTTCGGTGGCTTGGACATGTTCTCCGAATGTCGTCCCAGAGAATTCCACGTCGTGCATTATTTGCCGACTCTGGGACTGGTTGGAAGAAGCGGAGAGGTGGTCAGTGCATGACATGGTGTCGTGGCATGAAAGAAAGCTGCAAAGGACTGGCTTGTGTTGGTCCTTCACGAATCCCTGGTTGGGGTCTGAGAGATGGTGCTACACAGTGGCTAGAGACGTTATCATATATGGCTCAGAATAGAAGCCAGTGGCGATTCTGCTGTAACCTTCTTTTACTTTCTTCATAAAAAGTGGTTCTGTCTCCCTTACCTGAAAGATTTCTTCCGATTGTACCTTTGCGTTCCCTGATTACTGGCACATTACCTTACACCAATCTCTTCGTTATTGTTCTCTTTTATTGTTGCGCTCCTTAGCTTTTTTTTCTTTCTTTGTATTCCTCTCGAATTTTAATTGTTTTGTGTGGCGCATATATATTGGCGCTCTCCTGTACCAATATTCATGTGTCCAAATAAATAATAAAGTCATATCCTTAAAACAACAGTTCTTCACAGTTACAGGTTATATCATCTATTATTCCTATGGCTGATTAAGAACTGAGAGATTTTGATGTCAGTAGGTGTCAATACTAAGATTTGACTTGATAATTTCGAATAAATTGAGCATTGGGAAGATTATAAATAAAATAATATATTTGAATATCCCAATGAGTAGGAAAGTTAGGTGAGTCACGAAGCGTCAGAAAATCTAATTTTCCTATTCATTAGGATATTACAAATATATTATTTTATTTGTGATGTTAGTAGTTACTTAATGACCATTCGTGTTGATCGGTGTAGTATGTCTGGTATCATTATATCAGTCCATTATATTTTGTGGTTAAATATTTTATTGCCCCATAAACATTGTAAAAGATGACGAAACCAATAAATTAGAACATCTTTATTGTTTTATCCAGTGTAATATCCTCACTGGGGATTCATTTATCCGACCTCGGGTCAGACGATATGCCATATCTTGTGCTACTACTCAACTGCTAAAAGCGAAGTAGGTGGAGGGGAAGGTACAAATTCACGACACAACACATGAAAGCCGGACAGTTTAAACATCGAGTCATCGCCTAGTGAGCTTTTATTAAAACCAAAGCTGTTGTTTTTGGAAACGCGTTAGCTTAAATCGTGATTGTTCTCGTTTTTATAAATTCGTACTTTTCATGGAGGTAATTTTTGTAACTGGTTCAAAAATGACTGTAAATCACATAACCATGGAATTTTGATCTGATTCAGCCCAATGATAATGCAGTGTAACCCAGTAATGTGGCACAAGTAGGGATACTTGATATGTAGAGCCAATCAGAAGTAGCAAAATGTCAATCAATGGCAAACGGATGTGACCTAAAGGTCAAGTGCATTTCATTACCGTCAAATTCCTAAGGATAGACTGGTATATATATGGCTGGGTTTTGTGCATTTTATTCGGTAGTCCAATACACTTTCTCATTCAAGTAGTCAATTGGGAGTTGGCGCGTAGCATACCATGTATCAAGTGAGATTTCGGAACACTGCACATCACAACAATACTAGGGGTTCTAAGCAAAGATGGATAATGGCTATCAGTGGAATCCAGGAAGCGCATTTCGTCCTATAAGAGACTGATCAAGCAACCTGTACCAAGTGACTTTAAACTTCACCCCATTGCACAAACAAGTGGCTATCAGGACTCAGTAGCTAAGTGGATAATGTGATGGCGTTTGAGGCAAACGGTACTGGGTTCGAATTCCAGAATGAACATCAAGTCTGAGATGCAGGTACATCCGGCTGACGACTCCCGAATAGGACGATACGCGCGTCCTGGATTCTACTACCAGCCACTATCCATAATTGTTTAGAATGCTTGTGAGTTAAGGCAATATCGAGCTAATACTCGCAATACGCACATACGCCAATAAGATACTGATGAATTGTAGTCCTAAACAACAATGGGAAGATTCAAGCAACCAATACCAAGTGAATTTAATACTAGAGGTTGCATCACACTTCTTATATGAGAGCTAATTATATTACTAAACAGCAGAAACCTGAGTATTCGGAGAACACTTCAAACCCACAATCTATCAGTTGAAGTGAAAGCCTTTTAAACGAAATAACGACCATTCCATATCATATTAATTTAAGACTAATCAGTAGAGCCCATCAACTGCACTACGGCGGAACAGCCACAGGGCCTTCATATCTCATGATTAGCATCGTAACACTCAGTCGACTCATGATGTAATGCAACTACGACATTATCTCACTAGTGAGGATCTTTTTAAATTTCAGCTTGGCCGTTTACCTCCTATTACAAAGTAATAGAATTTCATCAGCTTCATGTGAGCGAATAATCATTGTTTATTTATTTTTGGATCACATCTACTGTGAGATTATAGATACTACTTGGATTCTCACATTGGAGTAGATGAAACTGGTTAAAACCCAATAATAAAATTTCAACCTAGAATCTTAATACAAATCTTATAGCTGATGTTTCCAATCAAAAGTATCAGAGATTTAAAGAAATAGGCATAGTAAGACCTACGGATGTTAATCCTGTAAGTACTCGTACGGCACAAAATAAATACAGAGACCTTATCGCTACCACTGGAACAAGTATTGTTGATGTGCTCATAAGAATTAGGGATGTAAGCAGGACTGAGCGAACGCTGAACTTTTGAATAAGGATGCCTGCAGGTATCTGCCCAAGAAAATAACCCCAGAAAATAACTCCCAGAAGAACTCCCCAATTTGAGCGATCCCAGTCAAACGGGCCATCTATCACAGTCTAAAATTTTAGAATAGTGAGAAAAATAATCAATCACCTCAAATTTTGCGTTGATCATTGTAAATCAAGGATAAAACAAGAAGAAATACAGGATAGCAACTTGATGGTGGAAAAATTCCACAAAACTTACTAAATTGATATGGCATTAGTTTCTAAATATTAAATACAAAACGGCATAACATTAGCACAGAAACGTTTACTGCCTGAAATGAAAAATGTTTGGATGAAAGGGCTTCCAAGTTTGTAGAAGAACCAATAGAAAACTGTAGCAGTACTGACAATAACTTTGCATTTTGAGTTCTACGTGATGCATTGAATTATTTGGTAGTGTAATCTCTAAAAAAAACTGTCAACGATATGCAGGCGCGCATTGAGGGTGTACATTTAACCCAATAATCCACCTCCTGTGAAAAACAAACCAATTTTTGTAATTTCACTTTAAATTTAGTAGAACTGTTAAGATAGCTTGAGCAAACTTTTTCTTAATTATTTTATATACTATTTCCAGAGCATTTCAGCGATCAACTGTGCACGTAATCTGAAACTGGACTTGTAGCTATTGTAAGACAGAAGCAAATTTGCTAGTAACAGCACATTTATTGCCATTTTCAGTAGATCTTCTAAAGCCCCCAAATTCCCTGGTACGGCCGAGAGTGGGGAGAGTCCAGTCTCTCTCCCTCTCAAAATGCTCTCATATGCCCACGAGTATAAAGTCTCTACCTGGAAAGTCCTACTCATTGCCTTCTCGTGGCCGGGGTGTTGTTTACGAAATTGAGAGGACGAAGAGCGAATGTCCGGCGCTTTAACCGGGTCGGTAGACATGGAGAGTCCACCTAGGGGAGTTAGAAAACCCTCATTCCAAACCCATGATGCACATGGGCTCCAGTATGCTGAGGAAACAAATGGCGTATGAACCAATCGTTGGTCACCGGTTACCATGGGACTGCATCTCCTTACAATGCTCCACTGCCTTGTGGATCAGACCTTCAGGTCGAAGGCTTCGGGTGTGATCCCCTAAGAAAACCACTTGCCTCGGTTTGGGAACCCGGGCAGTATCACAGCATTCACACATATCAAATGAGATCTGTGTGGCGCATATATATTTGGTGCCCTCTTGTACCAATATCTATCTGTTAAAATAAATAAATAAGATCTAAAACTACGATGTATTCGGCAAAGTATATTTTCGAGATCAGAACCACTACGCTGCAAAGTGAGTAAAATTTAAAGGCTTAAAGCACGTCCATACATTTTATTGAAGATACTTAAACTACTAACATGTGTATCTTTGTGAATATTATTGCCAAAAAAAATTTACATGGAACAGTGGTTGTTCAAAACCAGTTATACTATAACAACTACGTAGACTCTTAGTAAAAGTTAGGATAATCACGACTATCTTCGATTATTCTTCTTCCATTAATGTCTTATCTCATGGCTCTCCTCACAACATTTTTATGTATGGTAACTTAAAAGGATGCAATTTGGAGTGATGGTTTTTTTTCCATGCATTCCACTAGAACCTTAACAATATTAGGCATCAAACTCAATTATCCATTTCGACTGTTGGCATTCGCAGACAATGTTGTATAAACTACTTCGTTCTTTACTTACATGTCAATTCTCACTTACTCAGTGTCACAAAACAGTGCGGACGTTGGAGTAATTTGCCGATTTTAGTTAAATAAAGTATAGTAGTACGAAGGTTTGTGAAAAATCTCGACGGTTTTGAAACGTAATTCTTTACAAGACATTCCCAACCACCGTTATGATACAGTATCGCACATGATACTGATACACAAAGCTTTTCTAAAAGCAAACGTAGCCACGTAGAATTTTGTATAAAGGGCACTCATTCAGGGTTTCAACTTTAAATAGGATGGAAAGATAAGGGTGGGGGATTCAAGTGATGTAATATCAAGTTGTAAGACTAATAAACAAATTAAGGATGACAGAATGTCTGAATTCTGAGTTAAACACTGAATAATCCACTGACTCTGAATAACAGTATATACTACTAACTGTTAATATCATAGGGCTCCTGACTAAAACGCTTATTGTTCATAAGATGACCAGAGCTCCCACGTTTGGGGAAATTTCGGGGAAATCCCTAAAAGCCAAATGACCCTGACCAGGGCTAAAGAGGAATTTTTGGGTTTTAGTGCCATTTCCCCAAAGTTTACCATAGCGGCTTCCTCAAAATGGGTCAAATTTCCCCAAAGTTGGGAGCTCGGGGATTTAAGTCAGAAGTAATTGATCTCTTGGGTTATTGTAGGTTTCCTAGCTACTGTTTATAAAGTGATTAGACCAGCGTCGTTGGATCTACAATAATTCCTTTTTATCAGTAAACGATTGTTCTTACACTCGAGTGTAAGAAAAACATGCTGAATCCTACTCCATCATAAAATATAGGATCTGTGAAGGGTTTCTGTTCAAACTAATGTAAACTGAATAAATATTCGAATACCTTTGTTTCATTGAATGACTCTATACTACAACCAGATGAATTCTGAACAACTCGAATAGGATATTTATTACTTGTACTGTTGTTATCACGTATAGTGCAGCGACTTGTCATGCATAAGATTGCTATGCTTAAATTTACTCTTTGAGCCAGCATGTTGATTGTTCCAAGACACAAAACCAGAGACAAAATAACTCTTTCAGGTAAGTATTTCATTTCTCTAAGAACGGAATCGCATGATAACTTTAGTTAAGCGCTAAACCTAATCCCAATATTCAATATCTTCTTCAAGAGCTTGTATGAACTAATTGAATTTTGAGCTCTTTTCTTGCTGTTTCGGTTTGCATTCGAGTATTCCATGGTGTCGAATAGACGGTAGTCTATCCTTTCGACTGGACAAACTTTAGTCAGTTTGGTTGTTATTTGTGGATTTGTAGTTTGGTTGAATTTGGCTTAGGGCACAAGGATTTCGGGAATCCAGCAGATAGTAGGTCGATCGGTTTAATGAGACTATAGTTAAGTGATAATTTGGGTGCTGACATAGAACGGTTATTTCAAGCATAACAAATGAAATAATTTATTGTTAATGTGTACGAAGATGGAATGGAAAGTATAATAGTTGAAATGAAGTTGAGAATAAGCGAGATAGGAAGTAGTTACTGGAGTGTGATGATAGTTATAATGATAAGTTACGAGACGTTGATCAGAAACACCCGGTCGAAGAAGAAGATGGCAAATGATGGTTGAGTATGTGCTTCTCAAGTCTCCCCTCAAAGCTGTCCACTAAGGAGGCTGTGGTCAATTCGGCCAGGAGAGCATTCCGAATGGGGGATTTCTTAGTGTGAGTAACCTTAGTGTAGTAAACACAGAGAGCTTGAGCACTATCTCAGATGCATGAGGGATTCAGCCAAAGTAAACGAAACTCCTCAACTTATGCATGGACAACTTGACGCATTCACTACATAGATGTTCCTGACTCTGTAAAAGTACCCACGACACCAGATCAAAGTCCACATTGTTGTTGTGTCTCTCCTTATTATAAGTTATAACTCTATTAGGCCGAGTACATAGATGAAAAAAACAAGTTGATGATAGGTGAGAAACACAAATCCTACGAAAAAACTCCAACATTCGATACAGTTTTCAGTGAGTTATAGAACAAGACAAGATGGTACGGTGATGACATACAACATATTAGACATGAGAGCAAAGTTTAGAGCAAGTGTTAGCTACTATATGCAGAAATCATCGGATTGTTGAAGCAAACAGTGCAGTTAGACAGGTGATAAGTGAATGCATGAAGTGTATACTTATGAAAGTCACATTGGGTCAGGAGGTGATGTGGTCATTTTATGAGTGTCGGGCACGGGAAGGTTTGTTCTGTTTCTCCTCTGTGAGAATCACCACTAACATTTCGTCGAGGAAGAACTGATGGAAAAGTGTAAGTGAACACTTACGTATCTTTACGTATCTCGCACACCTGAAAGTAGTTTTCAGATGAGTGGCGACGCTTTAATAATTGTTTTAATACGTTTTATAGTAACGAGAGGGACTTTAAAAGAAGTCTTTAATGACAGTAGAACAAACTTTGTTGAAAAAACTTTGGAATTATGAAACACTATGAGTTTATGGGACAAATATAGGATGAATGACATGATGGCATTTCAACCTCCCACTAGCTAGTCAAAGAGACAGGATTTATGGAAGATTGATACTTTTTGTTTGTAGTATCCTACTAGTCGTTTCTAACGAAAAAGCATTGCATAGTGATAGCTTGATAACCTACTTTTGGGTGGGAGATATGACTAAGCTTTCACATCTAACAACCTGCTCTGATAAGAGGTTGAGATAGTATATGGATAGAGTGAATTACTGCGGATAGGTATTCATAACGGCGAAGATAGGTGGACTGCCTAGCCAATACGCCATGGTGTTTGTGAATGAGAAATTATGTTCCGTTACTGGAACATACATTACTTCTTAAACATAATAAGTCAAGGAAAAGTGAGGCAGTGCTTGTGGCTAAGGACTTAACTACTGGCTAAATATGGCCAGCAGGACCGGTTGGTACATATGAGAAAAATAATGATGGTCTAATAAGAACAGCCATGGTACGTATGAAAGAGTTTTCTGTAAGAAGAGATTTGAGAAGGCTTTGTCATCTGGAGGGAGCAAGTTAGCCACAGATTAAAGGTTAGGTTTATCGGTGTTCAGAAGTCTTGTTGTAAGTCTTGCACATCCCAATCTCATGGGCTAGTTACCTAGAAGAGCTGTGGTTGAATGTACATTTTAGTGTTCGGTGTGGCATGAACAGCACGCTGAAAATCCCTGTAAAGTGATTTGTTGGACAGAATAGATATTTTCTAGTCCTCCTTTACTGTCTTGTATTTTGACTTTTACTGAAGTCTCTTTTAACTAGGTTTTATGTTCTTCAGTCTTTATGGTCTGGACTTTAATTACTTGACTTTGGTTCTGACACACCTTTATTACTTAGTTTTACTGTTACATCTTGACGAACCATTGACACTGCGGTCATGTCTGTTTTAAGTTAGGGTTACGGCCTGGCCTAGCTGATGATTGCTGATCTCTGATAGCCCGATGTTAACGATTACTCCATCCTGATAAGCAGTTGACCCCATTTTGCTGGAAAAATCCAGATTTGCCCTCAGTTCCTGAACACTAATTTAACAACCTTTTGTAGATAGTCACGACGAACTTATTTTATAGTTAATTTTTAATACTATTTGCATTTCTTTTGTTAATTCTCAGAATTAATACATTTACTACAAAAGTTGCTTAACATTGCATGATCTTGAACACTTCCTCTTCCAATGTGTATTCCTCATAGCACGACGCACCAATAACCGCTCATGAATACACTACTACGCACACATGTCTCTCGTTCTCAATTGCATGTTGTTAAGATTACTGAACTCTGAAATATTTATTATTTGCATTCACAGACCACAGCTATATTTCTAATACATTGTAGGGTCAATGAAATGTCACTGAGCCCTAGCCAAATCATCCGGCAGTTGGATAACTGAATGTCGAACAGATCATCGCTCCCTGCCAAGGTCATATACAACCAACGCGCATTAGTTAGTCGTATGCCATGGACTGGCCCATGCGGCAGTGGTCTTACCTTCGCTTGTATCTACTTCAACTAATATATTTCCGTAATGACGTCCTTTGTGTTGTACAGTCTTCAAATCATCTACAGTACCTTGATACGTCGATGGGGGTAGTCCACGTAAGGTGCTGACCACGAGGTGTGACTTCAACGTTAGTTGGTTCATCACACCATTCACGTCTAACTCGAGTAGGCCTCCAATCATCTCGACATAGATCATCTACGTTGGTGATCTACAACATACTTAATCTGGATATACTCCTAGAATTAAGACAATTTATATTGGAATTATTAATTGACTATAATTGTGGCTCATTATACCAAATGCAACTCGAACATGCCAAATCCTGGTAATCTAGGCAACGTCCAGTAATTTTTTCTTGTGTCTATATATGTTAGTTAATATATTAATACATTAACTTTTGAACACAATGACTTAACTATTATTTTTGAGGTAATATAATTTTGAACCACCACAGATATTCTTTTATTGTTTGGCACATTATTAATGCGTGCTAAAGAAACGTTAGACTGCTTAACACGGGCTGCATCGTTTGAGGCATTTTGAACTGTCGGTACAATTCGTTTGATTTTTTAAATTAAAAATGCCTAGGTTGCTCAGAGTTTGTGCTCTTACATAATCCATTACGAGTCACTTAAAAACTCTTTGTACGCTATTATAAAGAACGTAGAACGGTTTAATAAAAAGCTTTGGCTTTTGGCTCTGAATTCAGGGCAAATACTTGAACTTCGGTGGTTACACATACTTTCGGATGGTCTCATGACAATACTGTTGAAGTAAGGGAATGGGAAATTGACAAAAAGCTGTTGTGTCGTTAGTGATACAAAAATTGTAGTATGATGTTTAGACATATTTTCCTCCACCAGACCAATTGCTATGGAATTGTGTTTCAATATGTTGTAGAAAGCAAGTCAATTAAAAGGTAACAAATGATTAAAGAACCGTGAAATCCATTGTACAGGTCTTTTGTACTTAAAGGTACTCTTTGTTCTATTGATAGACGGAACCAGGCTAGTAGTGGGTAGGTTTTTATTTTGATCGTGGGACAGTCACAGTGGAGCGGGAGGTTACCCATTCAAACGCACAAAGCTTTTCAATATTCAATAAGGATAGTAGGAAATATAACGCTTATACGAAATAAGGATGTAAATTATTACTTAATCTCTATTGTTTTGACATTAACTATGTTGTTTGACTTCAACTCTTAATTAATCAGCCTAAGCTGGTACATTAGCTTCCTCCTAGAATCGACTTCGGTAGGAACGTCGGTTCCATCAACCTATTTACCAAGAACAACTACGTTCTGCTTCCTCAGTCCAAACGAAAATTATCGTCTCTTTCAGTGTTTGACTGGAAGTCAAACTAAGGTATGTGAAATCAACATACCTAATATAGTAACCTTACAGGTAATGTGCTGTGCGATATCTTCAGTTAAGTAAGTGTTCGTACATTGATAAAGTGTGTGCAAACTATGAGAGCTTAGGTTAAAACCAAGAGGAGTTCAACTCCCAACCCATCTCTATAATAATGGTATGAAATTTTAGTCAGTGTTTGTATAAAGGTAACTGTGTTTATGGATAAATAGCTTATGCATTGGTATAGCCCAAAGCCGCCAATTAGAAGCAGCGAGGACGTGTAAAACATGCGCGAGAAGCCTAAAGTCCTGACTGGTCCTTTCTGTCTAGCTTTCCGTCTAGCCCAGCCAGGTAAGTCCAAAACACCAGTTTCAGCCCCTGCAATATGAATCATTATATTTCAAACAAACTCGGTTTATATGCCAATCGAACAGACCACAAAGTAGCATAAAATAGAAAATAACATTTGTACAAAATTTGGCCAAATGTGGCCGTGAATGTGGGAGGTAGTGACTAATAGACAGGACATAATTCAAGAATGGTAAAACGCATAATAATAGTTCATAGGTCAAAACAGAGCTTATAATAATACAATAGAAATATACGTTAAGTATTGGTCCATAAATGGATCCAAAAGTTACTAAGCATTATGTTTATCGGAACCTAACAGTATTCAGCATCTTTTTTAAAATAAATATAACGCTCATACATCAAAAGCATACGATATTAGGTGTGGATCGCATAACATTTCAGACTACTACTTTTCCTTGGTAATGTTCTTGCTGGTTAAATAAAATTGGTGAATCTAAACACAAGATCTTAGTAATAACATGGTCACATTTTGGACTCCAGCCAAAACTGTGGATATTCTTGACTG